ATATATAGTAGCAGCATTCGTAACAGTCACCAGCTGGAACAAGAAAAACTTGGTCATCATTGCAACAAAATACACAAGACGGCTAATTTATGGGCCCCAAACTGTAATTTTGGTTTGTGGTTTCAACTATTTCAGTGTGCTGTTGCTTTCTAGTCTGTGTCAACGGATTGCACAGTGTAGAAAGTGGTACAGCAAAGCAGATCTCCTCAGAACCATTGGATACAAAGAGAAAAAAAATGGAAAATGGAGGCTACGGGCTAAATATCCCACTCAGTGACGCGCCACCGTGACTGATTTCCTCTCTTTAGACCCTTGCAGTAAATCCTAATAGCCATGAATGCTCAAGCTTTACCATATGTCCATTTGTGGGAAACTTGTTAAGATAACATACATTTCATTACGCATGTAAGCTGAAGCAAATAGGGAAATTAATGACACATCAAATGATAGCGGGGTATGTCATATTTTTGTTATTTGGGGCCTTCTTCTTGTTATTTTGAGAAAGGGTCTCTTTACATAGTCCTGGCTGACCTAGACTCTCTATGTAGACCAGGCTGGCCTCAAACTACCCTGCCTGTAAGTCCTGAGTGCTGGGATTAAAGGTTGTGCCACTGCATCTATGTGGCAAATACATGAAAGAATCCATTTTAGAAGAAAAAGATTCGTCTTGGTTCCTGGGTTCAGTGTAGGCCCATATTTCTACATGGTGTGGCTGCCAGGCTCTAAAGTCATAGTCAATATCTGAGGATGGTCACGTATCCTTCCAGACAGGCCTTTGCTACCTAAGGAAAGGTCGGGATGCTGCTTGCTCCTTTCTTTGTAATTTAGAGGATGCCTGATAGAAATGCTGATTCAAGCCTGTGTCAGCTAGCATCCCAGCAGACAGGTAGATGTGGATGTGACAAAATGCCATTCAACTGGTTCCTAAGAGACAGAAGAAGGCTGGTGTATTTCCCACTCAGTTTACGTTTTGATATAAAAAGCTGTTTGGACAATAAATGAGAAGAATTCTTCAGGGTGTGAACACGGTCGGGACTTCATGAGGGACCACTGATAATCTCCCCAGCAATAAAACAATGTGAGTTGTGTCTCTATTCCCGTACCTCCACGCCAGTCCAGAGAGATAGTTTATACTGGGGTCTGGTTCAGAGAAAATGATTTATGGTCCGGGCTAGCCACTGGACCTCGACATAATGGCGCCCTTGAGAGAAATAATTGAGGGTCCTGGCTAGCACCAGATACCAACATAATGGTGCCTGCAACGTGGGGCTGATCCACGAACCCTGGCATAATAGGACACAGACGTGAGGCTGATCCGCAAACCCCCAAAACAAGGAAGAAGTGACCAAACATGAAGAACCCGTGAGAGAAAATTTTACCACAGCTGGATATGTGAGTATTGAGTGCTCAGAAATAGAGATCAGAATTTAAAGAAATGTAGAGAAGCGGGACAAAATTTAAATCGAAAGTAAAACATGTGTAAATTATAAAATTTATTCAGTTATATGTGTTGATAGCTAAAGGGAGTTTTAAGAGTAGAACAGAAACAATTGCAGAGATATTTAGAATCTGAAAGAGTGATAGACGCAGAATTGTAACCTTTATTGATTGCTAAATGGGTAGAAAAAGTGAAGGAAAAACGGCTTTTGGCCCAAGAATCACCAGGTTACTGCTAAGATTGAGGCACCACAAGCTCACAGAGGCCAGCTAATCTAACACATCTAAAACTTGTGGGAGGGTGGGGGAAAGGCAAGCAGGAGCTAGAGTAAGTTTAGAGAGCAAATTTAACCTCACACAGTCAGTACCCCAGAGTCAGTCAATAGAACAGAGGAAAGGATTCAGAAATTCTTCTAATTTTATGATTTACAAGTTAAAATTAAAAAGATAGTTAAAAATCTGCCTGCCAGAGCTTGGAAAGGCAGGCTAGCAGGCAGAGAGAGCATGTGCCCTACCCCCTGCCATGGGGCACATGTTGTCAACAACAGGTGCAGCTTCAATTGGAAGTTGAAAGGCAGTTTTGAAATAAAGTAGCTTCTGAGAACTGCAGCTTCAGGTCAATTAAAAGTAAATAAGTAGGTTAAATATGTTTCTTTTCCATTTCACAATTTTGCTTCTTTGCCAAAAGTATGCTGTTTGTAGGCATGTGAATTTGTATCCAAGGTGGATTGATTCAGTACTGTGGCTCTGTAATGATGTTTTAAAGTCAGAGATTGTGATGCTTTCAGTAGTTCCTTGTAGACTATCCTGAGATTTTTTTTTTTCTTATAAAGCTGAGGATTGTTCTTTTTGAGAACTGTGAAAAATCTTGTTATAATTTTAATGGACATTTGCATTAAATCTGTAAGTTGATTTCAGTACGATTGTCAGTTTTGCTATGTTGGTTCTACATTCCACAAGAGAATAGGAGATCTTTGCATATTCTGATCTTTCTTAAAAGATTTAAAGTTCTTATCATACAGGTTTTTACATTTGTGTGATCAGAGTTACTCAAAGGTATTTTATGGTATTGTAGCTATTGTATAAGATTATCTCTCTCATTCACCTTATGTGTAGAAGAGGTGTATTTTGGGTTGTTTTCAGATTCTGTCTATAACAAAGTAATTCTTCTATAAGCATAGCTGAGCACATGTCTTTATGTTATGGTTGAGCATCTTTTGTATATAGGCCCAAAAGGGGTATTGCTGAGTTTTAAGGTAGATGTTTGCCTAATTTTCTGAGAATTGCCACACTAGTATCAAAGCAGCTGTGTCAGTTTGCACTTCCACCAGCAGTGGAAAATTTTTACTTAACCACACATTCTCTCCAGCATAAGTTATTAGCAGTATTTTAATCTTGGTTCATTCTTAAGGGGACAAGCTAGCATCGCAGAGTTGTTTTGATTTGCATTTCTCTAATGGCTAAAGGATGATACGTTTGAGCATTTTTTGAGTGTCTTTCAGTCATGTTAAGTTCATCTATTGAGAGTTTTCAGTTTAGGACTGCAATATTTTTATTGGATTGGATGTTCTTTGCTGACTAATTTCCTGATTTCTTATGTTTTTGGAGTGGATTGGTGATTAGCAAAAATATTTTCCCATCATATAGTCTGATATTATGTCTTGGTGATTATATCCTTTGCTATACAGGATTTTCTCAGTTCAGGAGATCTCATTGATTATTTTTTTTCCTACAATGTTTGTGCCACCAAGGCTATGTTTGGGAAGTACCAATGCATTCAAGTGTTACTTCAAATTTTTCTTCTATGAGATTCAGTATTGTTGATTCATTTAGTCTTTGCTTCATTTTGGATTTCAGTTTTGTGCATAGAGATGAATATGGATCTGTTTTCATTCTTCTACATGTTGATGTCTAATTAGGCCAGCAGCACTAGTTAAATATGCTTTCTTTTTCCATTTTCCTATCAGCTATGCAGACTTGGAACTAAAGAGAGAATAGTTTAAAAACTTTTAATTAGATATTCAATAGTTAAGGCTTTAGTTATAATATTCTTATGAGAGATATTAAGCTACTTAGTAAAATTCTTAAAAGGAGCAATGAGCCAATCTTTAATAGAGAGTTTATAGAAGCTGCCAAATGGATACTCAAACAGGTAAAGTATAAACCAACAGGTAGAGTACACATTACTCAGCAAATAAAGTATATTCATTATAATTCACCTATAACAATTATATTAAGTGTGTATTAAGTACAAAACTTATTCTACAGTAGTTTTATGAAAAAAAAACAGAATGCTTCTTATAGTTATACCTTTGCATTTTTTCCAGTTAAGATATTAAACTTTTGACCCAGAGCGGTGAGTGCCTGCATACCGGGCAGGCCTCAAGGTCCCCTGCAAGAGAGCCCGGGCACCTTCAGCTTGTGCTGCAGGGTCTCCTGTGCTCCACTGGACCCTGTCCTGCCTGCCACGTTCTTCCTTTTGTCCCAGGCTCATTGGGCTACCAGGCGTCCCTGTTTAGGTGC